CGCGCTTCACCATTGCCACTTCAACAATTTTGGTCCTGGTCAATTCCCCAAGCGCGCCTTGTAATAGCCGGCCTCTGCGACCGCCGACGTGATGCGATTAGGTTTCGGCTACCCAGCGCAGTGGATCCGCAGCGAACCGCGCATCTGGTCCTTGATTCAACTCAAATCTAGCAGCCGTCGTACTGTGGTTGAAAACAACACCTGAAACAACAACACCAGAAGCAGGAACGGTGAGATGCCGACCATCGTGGCATCATTTGCACCTGTCGTCCTCCAACTGCAGCACCGCCTCTGTTACTAGTATCCAGACTGGCCAATGTGTGCTTGCCGATAGGGAAGCATGTGTATCGAGCATCACACGTACTGACGGCGATGCCTCGAGATACACATTCTAGGCTAAGCAGCAAGCAGCTTCATCCGACCACATAACTCAATTCTGGCTACAAATTGCCTACCTATTGCAGCACAGTTTGACTACCGCACCTGCTTGCAGCAACAATACCCTGATGCAGCGCTTCAGCGGGTGACCAAACTTGCTCGTCTAAATTTTGGTCCTGCTCAGTACGCCCTTGCACCAAACCCAGGAACCGCTTCATGTATCCGCTTCCGATCTTTGTAACCGAAAATTGACGATGCGGTCAACACACACAACACACTCTTTTGGCTTCGTCGTAGACCAATCGTGCAAAACAAAACCTGCTTCGTCTGTTCTCCTCTTCTCAACAAGGGGTTCAACAACGGTACATATCTAACATTCTTTTACCGCGCACCAATCAAACCTGAAAGACAACGTGCATTGAAAAAAACGACCAAACCCCGCATGCGTCCGGTCAACTTGTGGATCCAGCTAGATTTGTCCAGCCGCATGTGTAACGTCATGCCAACGACCAAGGCCTCCGCACGACAGGACGCGTCGGCTGCTTTCTGGTTAACTACCAGTGATTGCTTAGCACGAAAACTTAGAGGCTGTGGCTCACCCACAGCATGATCGACGATCTTGGTCCACCATCTGCAGAATCTCGGGAAACACCTGAGCTTCCAGCCATGGATTTGGAATGACCCGTGTTGATCACTTGCAACGGTTACTGACAACGGTCTTCCCTACACCCGAGCCGTCTCATCATGACTTGGAATTCAACTATGCATCACATACCCGGTAGATGGGTTTTCACACTGGCCAACAGCATTCGCGTGATCAAGAGCTGGCTCTCTTAAACAGTTTGACCAACGGTTATCATACCATCGAATCTTGCAGATGCTCATCATAATCTCTTTCCGTTATACAGGGACATCAGCCGTACCCTACCACGCCAACCTCCTACCAACGAGCCTGCTCCACATCAACATCGAAGGAAAGCCACCTTGGACCCTTCGTGTCACCGTTTCAAGTTGACCGTTTGCAATCCTGATCATCGGCACGTCGCAATTTCCCCAGCCTCCACCCCGCGCCTAAAACAGTCGCATCGAACAATGACGCGACAGGCACATATCGCAACTTGTCCCCGCAGATCTTCTCGCGTGGTGCATTACCTGAATCGGCACTAGACGCTTTGCCTTCCACCTCCCTTTCGTTGAACCGTGGATCTGGAATGTTCATGTCGTGTAGCAATTATGAAACGCCGGACAGGCTGTTGGTACCACAGATCTCAGAGAGATCTGCAAGGCGCCGCGGTTTTGCGATGCAACCGTGGGAAGTTTTGGTTGCGGGGGTATGTTAGGGCCAGGTTTGTTTGCTCCGATGTGGGTGGAGGTTGGGGATTGACGTCAGTGGATCGTGAGTGTTGGATGGAGATGGTTGTTCTCGATACCTCTCTCATGGAGCCCTAAATGACAATTCTGCTGAGTACTCCGAAAACGTGACGATGCTGCGGTCGTCAGGTAGACATCTATGTCGCAGATGAGTCGATCGACCTCATGAGGATGTGTCTATTGCAAAACTTTTCAACTCATGCCTCAGCCATGCAAACTCCCAGCAATATCGGGAGATGCTGAATGTTCAAGAGCAGTTATATTGTAAAGAGTCTCAATGTGTGAGAGGCTCAAATGAAGTGTAAAGAATTTCATGCAAGCAAGCTTGACAGAGCTTTGACTGCTCGCGATTTGAATCTTACAGTTTACTGGCATGAAAATCATGTTTGCCGCAATATCAAAAGCACTGGAAGGCATATCGAACGAGCACACATTTCCCTGCAGATTCTCAAAAGACTTCACCATAGCATTTCTGCTGATATTCCATGACCATTAAACAAAGACTCAAATCTCCAAATTCCTGCATAGCATACTCAAGTTCGACGTTCCTACTTGCCCATTACCCCGCTGTTAGCGCCTACCAATCATCAGTCGTGGTGTTGTTCCCTCCTCGACCCCCCGCACGTGATCCTGCCTCCTGCATCAAACCCACCCTCCCAAGACACCAAACCAACGCGTGGAAAACATAGCAAAGGTTGGCCTAAGACATATTGTTGGAGCTCTGCTACTGCGAGACTCGTGATGAGTGTCTTGAGAAGTCCTTGCTATATACAAATACTCAGTAATTAAACCAACTCTTCATGACTCTTAAGTACCTCTGTGACTGTGACTTGTCCGAATGGCAAACTTGAGCCTCGGATTCTATGATAAGCTAGCTCAAGAGTGGATCGGGTACAATGCTCATCGATTATTAAACCCAACCTCAACCCACTTTTGGAAATCCTAAATCTAGTCACTAGTCTACCTGGAAGGTGCGTTGTTTCTACTTCAAATTGCGAAGCTGCTCAACGTGGCCATGAAATTTCGCCTGCCGGCCGTTCCATATAGCTATTCCCTCGCATCAGGGCTCCGAGATAGTAATGTAATCCCCAGCTTGTCCTTGTGCAGGCGTAATTTCTGCGTCCCTGAACCATTTAGTAACACTAAAGCTTGCTTTCCGCGCAGGTACTTCGAGGAAAACGCTGTTATGGTACTTGCGACCTGTGCTGTTACTAGTAACGAAGTCCGAGGCGCGAGCATCTGAGCCAACAGGCATCATTTCTGTCAAGCCGGTAGGGTGCCAGATACTAACATGCGCAATTTCCGACCGTCCGCTGATATTGGGGTCGATCACCAACGAGCTCAGCATTTACCTAGTCTCTAGGTAGAGCCAGAATGCATAATATCTCCTGTAGACATCCCTATTGCCCCACTATCTTTCGAAAAAAGAGTAGGACTGGGCTGGGTCGATTTGCTGAATCTGACTATCAACAGCGACATTACCTTAGAGCCATGCAGTTGGATTATTCTATTAGGAATGGTTAGCTATTTCTCATTACTAGTGAGCTGGTTTAGTAATCCCAGAATGACTTACACACTACCACGACCAACCATTAACAATGTTGTTGTTGTTGACGTCAGGTGTCGTAACCTCGAGCTGAATGCCCCCGTTCCCACCATAGTAGAAGTTTTTACCAGCTTGTCGAGTCGAAACATCAAGATGAGCGTCGTTAGAACAATATAATAGTGTGTGTTTGTCCAATTGTTGCCATCGGCAGAGGCCGTAATATTCTGTACCGTACTCCTGATGTCCAGGTAGTTGGCATCAACAGTTCCGCCTTATAGGACTGAGCTTCCTCGGACAGATCCGGACTGGAGGTCGCCGAATGACAGGAACAAGCCTACCATAGGACTGTTCTCACCGAGGTTGCATGTCAACTGGTACTTGTTGCCTTTTGTTGCAGTAACAAACCACAAGCAGAAATAGCTTAAATGAGTTAGACCATGCATGTCTAGTTAATAAGGTAGTTTGACTTACTTGTTGATGGATGTTGAATAGTTTCCATTCAGGATAAGAGTTTGATGGACATCATATCGAAGGGCAGATGTCTACGAATGTTATTCTTGTCTCAGTGAATAGAGTGGTAGGAAACAGTACCCGGTCTGTTCCGTGGGTAGAAGGTGGGTAATCAGGGGGTCCACGATGTTGCGTTCAATGAGTTGGCGCTGGACAATAGTGGTACGAGGGATAGCAGCAGTGCTGTTGCCGTGAAACAAATTACATTGGTAATTTGATAAGTTGAGACAGAATGCAAGGTAGTTAAGTCTGATACTTCTGATTCAAGCCAGAGTATGGTGCCAGAGCTTCTATGTCAAATGCTATGTCTGCACTACGTACTTTTCACTAATACCGTATGGTGTCCATCAAGTCCAGAGTAGCCACAATCCGCTTGCCGACCTTGACTGCTCGACTCCCAGGTTGGGGCAATGTCCAATCCGAAATCCAAAAGTGCCCGCCTGCAAAGCTTGACCACTATATGCCCGGGGCGGATCAACGCCCAATCCGAACACCAAAGCAACCCGTGACTTAAGGCTATAGAGCGCCACGCCATAGCTAACGTCATCCACTCGTGAAGTTTTCACTGCCGTAGCGGAACAACCTACAGGTACTTTGACTTTAATGCAGTAGAAAGCTTGCGCCTAGGTTGGTGAATGGGTTCAGGGTACCCAGCAGTGGGTTGGGGTTGGGTCAGATCCGCACTGAAGAGAACACCAAAATCCAAACTGTTAGATCGTGAGTGACAGTAGATCCGTTGCCAACCCAACGGTGACCAACAACCGACTCGATCCTACTTCGGTTCTACTCGTCCAAGGACATAACCGGGCACTTGCGGCTGTATCGCGGAATTTCAGCAGGCTGCTTTCGTGACTCGATTGTGAAGCTGTTTGAAAAAGCTTAGTGTATATTTTGCTATCCCTAATCACTGTTTGTGCCGCGATTATCTGGACAATGGCTGGCGCTGCACCGAAGGAGGCGTGCGGCCACAAGTTGATGTATGACTCCACCGCCTACACACCTCAAAGACCACCTCAGCGGCATGTTTTTGATCAGTTGAAATACGGGTCCAAAAGAAAAACGTTGGTCTGGCGACGTTGCAAACTGGACTGAATGCTGATGGTGGTTGTATGGCACGTGACCCAGCTCCCTGCCCCAATACTTCCCTTGCTCCTCAACACCACGCCACCACCACAAAAACAAAAACAATACGAATTGCATCGGCCGGGAATCGAACCCGGGGCTAGCCGATGTAGCTGAGGCAAATTAATACTCTTGGCAACGGCTAATTTTACCACTAAACCACCGATGCGTGATCTCTTATGGAAAATATGAACCATTGTTGATATATATTCTAATATTCGAAATACAGATGATGACTGAACGTGGAAGAGATGATAGAGCATTAGGGGAAGAGCGTTTCCGGCAGTGCAGTGAAGTTCGCGGGTGGGGATGTTCCAGGTTTTCACGTTCCCCGCTTTGGGGGACTTTGCCTAAAGGAGTGTTGTGCTCCGCGGGACAGACACTTCTTCTGCCGGTCACTGGAACGATGTCTATATCACTCTTCCAGCGAAGAATTGGATTCGCGATATCTATTTGACCAATTGTCTTGAGAAGTGCGATCAATCTGTTGGACGTGATGAGGCTTCGACATACTACGACGAACGCTCGAGCCTATGGCGGCTCTAAGTGGCTACAGTCCATTCGGTTCGACACAAACAGCGCGGAGAAGATGCCTCCGCTGGCCGGATTTTGGGTCTTGCAGACGTTGTCGTATTTTGATATATGTTGCAACATTGATAGCGAAGTGAGGACCAATACAGATCGAGCGATCAAGTGAAGCGTTCCCCTAAGGCTGCATGCCGCTCCTCGAGATAGCATGAGAAATACTTCAAAATTGAAATTTTAAAGCTTCTAGCGCTGCTCACAGGCAGAGTAAGTCAGGAAACACTGTACCAAGTTGTTGTGCGACCTCCCTACTGCGCTGTACTAAGAAATGCAGTGCAATGTTTGGCAACTAACTTTACCGGCTAAACCACCGATGCGTTTCCAGCCTTCGCACTTCACGTCCTGACACGCGCAATGCGCACAAATTGTCAGGTCAATGGATCCTGGCTTTTGAGCCCTGCTGTTTTTCTCTACAAACAGACTTGCACCTCAACCATCTACGACGAAGTATAAGTCAACACATATGCGGCCCGTGTGGCTGGCAAAGCCAACGACTCGTTCACGTAGCCGCTGCTTAGAGTAACGAATCCAGCAGCGCTCGAGTACAAAGCCGCAGTCCCCGATTCTTCGCGATCTCCCAAATCCATAGCATTGAGAACAAGGAAAGTCTGGCCCAATCCGATCCTCGCGATGATTGTCAGGTGCGCATCAAGATTATCCAGGGTTTCGGACAGACGATCAGTGTTGCTATCCTCATCGTCGTCGTCATCGTCATCGTCGTCATTGTTGGCGTTGGAGGGCAAGGTCAAGGGGAGACTGAAGTTGAGATATTGCCCGGATCCAATCGAGGCGTCGAGTACCCGGGTCCCATAGACATAGGTTGTGTCAATTGAACCAAAGTCGCCGCTTCCGCCTGAAATGAACGAAGAGACTTGGTCGGAAAGAGGCTTGCCCACGTGGAGTAGACGCACTCTGTCTGAATGGACTGCGGCGAAGATTTGCGTAATTTTCACCGAAGACATCAAGTTCTGCACCGTCACATTGAGGCTCGTCGCAGTGGCTCCGTCGAAGTTGGTTGCTGTGATGCCGGGCGATGAGCTATCGGTGTTTGGTAGGTTGGAGAATGATCCAAGTATCGTTTGGCCATCGTATGTCGCGCCGGGACCTGACCAACTGTAGGCTTCGCTGCTTAATGTTTGACGAGCTACAAAAGCTGCTGCGAGAGCTGTTGGGAGAAGGCTTGAAAGTATGAAATGCATCTTGACGTGTGATTTGAGGTTAATAATTGAACTTGTTTGTCCACCTCGTTTTTCCTTTTCGTGTTTCCATCTTATATACCTCGTGGTCGCGAGCGCTCTGGGTGCTCTTTCGTCATTCTCTTTGCCATTAGAATAACACCATCACTCTAGACACTGAGCTAGCAGCCGAATGCGGTAATAGAACACGCGACAGCAGGCTGCGCTGGTTGGAAAGAGCTGTCATACCTTCTTGGCATGGCGTATAGTGAGGTTCAACGCTCTGGTCTAGCCCCGGCGGATGTATGTTGACGTCAAGGTCAAAGTCAATTGACATTCGCTTATCCGCCCGCTTCCGATATACCACAACATTTCAGAGCAGAGCTGCACTTAAGGTCGTGCATGTCAAAACTTAGGCTCAGGTATGCTGGCGCTCGACTGTCATTGTTGTATCGGGGTCGTTGGACATTCCGCTGACTTCACTGTATTTTTACGAGAAGTTTTTCTTCTGAATTACACATCGATCTCAACCCTGAAATGATGAGTTTGTGAGCCTAATCGCTCTCTAGACATGAGTTCCGTAATACTAGGATATGACAACGCAAATTAGCATGAATAGAAGAAAGTTCAGAAGAGCCCATCTTTGGTTGTTCCTGAACGGAAACCACCACAAGAATGCTTAGTTGACCGCTCACTGCTAGTAGTGTGGCTGTTCAACCTCAAGTATTGGTTTTGATGAGCCACATAGTAGCTAGTAGCTGGAACTTAATTTCGACATGGACGGAGAAGGGTACGAGGTATGGCTCCCATCAAAATGACCTCGTCATTCACCACACATAACAGGATAATCCAAGAATCGCCAATGTCCATACTGTCGAATGTATCGATGCCACATGAACATCAGGCAGCAAAATTTCTCCAAGATGATATAAAAGCGAACAAATTAGTATGGCATGCTCGAAGATACGATTGAACAGATAGCAGAGTTACTCTCCAGTCCTACAGTATCCATCGCATAAGATTAGTATGAAGGGACCTACGCCATATGACTCCCCTGTCACTATACCGACTATGTGACAAAATGGAGCTTAGCTCACTGGTAATATGCAGTCTACAAAGGCGACAGTGTTCGGTGATGCGCGCATTGGGTACCATCTCACCTCTCGTCTTGGTAATTATGCCCATGAGCAATACAACGTATTATGATTATATAAGACTTACATAATTGGCTGACGAGGTGCTATAGAGCCTTGTATCAAGACTTATATCTCTACCAATTCCCGTGTTGTAGTTTACGCATCCAATGATGAAACCTTTATGTGCGATGCATTACCAAATACGAGCTCCCTCGTACCGGGACAATCTAAACATTTTGAACCCACAATTTATGAGGATGGGCTGTTGCACCAGTGTAGGTCCCATCTGTACTCGGCAGTACAGCAAGATTGAATATTACACCTAGATCATAACGTGAAGTAATACGTAGAAGTCCACGCGCCCTAGCTAGCGAGACGTAGTTAGCTCCATGTAACCTTCTAGCAAGCACTTCGCGAGTTCTTACGGACCATGAGAGCTGACATTGCTGGATCTACGCATTGCCTGAATAGTCTGTATACGAAAAGTGGATTCCAGTGATGCATTGTATGATACTATGTCTACGATGTATATTGTTGCTGCCTCAAACTCGTGATCAATGTGTTGGCGGGCACTTTCGAGCTGGTTCCAGGAGTCGATAGAGAGGAGGCGTACGAATAGCGCGGCAAGATAGCCTCAAGCATATTGATGGAAACTTACCAGTCCTGATAAGAAGCGCCACTTTGGTCGATTGCTAGGTTAATAGAGGGATATAGATAAGAAGCGGCGCCCTGCTGCAATAGGAGGTGCTGATCGGATAACAGATACCTCGTAGCCCGGGTGGGATGACTATCTTCAGTATCAATGGTGGAAAATTTCTCACAGCCATACCTACTTGCAGCACGTTGTTGGCTTGGGCGAATGTTAGATTTCAGGGTGGACTTTGGGAGAGGGCCTGGACGACATTAAATTTGGAAGGGGGATTCTACATGCAATCTCAGATGTTATTGAATCGCGCCGTGAGCTGCGAGATCGATGGCGAAGACGGAACAAATTGACGACCTGGTCGATATACAATTAGCACATCGACAATAAGATGAAGAATAAATGCGAAACCTGCAGGTACCGCCCGGTAGTTCTGCCTGCCATGTTAGTACTTATCGTCACTCTTTGTATGACAGAATTCGTATTTTGATACGCAAAGATTCATTCTAGGTGATAGGATGATGTAATGAATGAAATATATTCTGAAATTCTTCCGAGCGAACTGCAACTCGCCAGCCTCTGTATGATGGCTTGCAGCTGATAGTACCACAAGCTCAGCACACTTTCAATGAACAGTGATTCCACCTGAGAGAATGAGCATATGTCATGCACCAGGGTGTCCCGCTGTTGGATCTCTGACACGGCAAAATTGATGGTAGTGTTCTAGCTATTGGCAAGAACAGTAGAATAGCGCAAAAGCTAGTTTTTGTTTGATCGTGCTTCGTGCACGTCGCATTACTCAATGCAAAGTATGAGGGCGTTGCTTTTCACTGGCTTGCTCACCATCGACGACAAGCTTCACAGTAAGATTGGCTTACGCCAATACAGTCGGCGAATGACTTCAGATTGTCCCAGAGACCGCCACATATCCCAGGCACGATGTCGGCCGCAATGTTATCCACGTGAACAGTAAAAGTTGGCACTATTTTGCTGGTGGCATGATTGCAGAAGGTTTCACCATTCGCGCCAGTGTGAAGAACTGATAGAATAGTCGCTGCGGAAATGAGATTGAAGCGCATTTTGAAAGGGTTCTTGGAAGGATTCAAGGTAAAGTGCTGGAGATGATGTAGATATAGACTAGGTCACACAGCTGGCTTTATACTGACTCTATAGGAGATTCGAGGCAATATTGCACTACTGACGTAAGAGCAGGGTGCAAACTCTGTTTTTAGAAGTCTATCACCATTCGTCACCCCAAATTCCAACTCTCCACGGCAGGATCTACAAAAGACACGTTAGGAAGCTGCTCGCCTGAAGCAAGATCAGCAGGCGGAGTGTTAATGTTAACGTTTGCTATTCATTTCAGTCCGATCATGAGGAAGCCAAGAATTTGTGAATACTGCAACCAATGTTGTGAAGTCAAGGTCCCCGTGTAGCCGTGCCCAGCTTTATACTGTCTGCATCTGGTAGGATTTCGCGCGTAAAAGGGCCGAGCCTTGACTTAGTGCGTAAACCATGACACTGCAGCGTCGACCAAGAGCTAAGCCGCATGCGAGGCTACATAGCCAGCCAAGAATAACCTCACAGCCGAGGAACTTTCCATCGAGCCAAGTGCAAAGGAGCTGCACAG